CACAATTGACCAATTGTGGCGTGCAAGAGAACTGTAAACTAAATCAACGCAAAGACACGTACATATTATGTACAAGCACATCAATAGGAAAATAAAACCCTGCCAGGGCACGTCTATGGAAAAAAAGAGGACGTGGTCATTCTGTTCGATCATATTAGGAAATTATAAGGCATCTAAAGATATAATATGAGAAACATAGGCTAAATGAATCGCCTTCAGAGTCTCTCATCACTAGTTCAGCGCACTGGGAGTGTTCATATTGAATCCTGTGCATCTAAAATTTGATTTTATGTTGGCAAATTGTACTTTTCAACAACAAGAATGTGGAAGAATCATGGGTTTAAGAGCAAGTAAACTGTGACAGAACTTGGTGAACTCTTCCTTTATAGGCTATACTTTAAAAGCATCCTTTGTCTGAATTTTGCCCTCTATCTGTTTTCATACTTGACTGATTTTTCACATGTATCATGAGGGCAAATATTAAGAGAGCACAGACATCATTGGCTGGCCCTTATTTCATCATTCCACATTTACAGGATTTTAGGACTGACGGGACATCTCTAGGACATTTATCATCCTGTCTTTCAGCCGCTGAATAGCTGATTTGGTGGTGTGTTGTCATGTTGAAAGCTCGAGCCATCTTCCCATTTTCAACTTCCTTGCTGCAGGTTTTAGTTTTGCCTGTAATTTGTGCCATCCATCTTCCTCTCTGCTGACAAGTGCTTCAGTCCCAGCTTATAAGAAATACTCCCACAACAGGATGCAAACCTGATGATTTTACGTAGGCTATATTATGAATTTGGTTTTCATCAGAACTACAGCTGCTGATATTAGCCGAAACGCTGATCTGATTGCAGCAACTTTTGCATCATGGCCAATACATTTTATCACAGGGGTAAACAAACTTTGGTAAGCAGGCCGCTGCTGGCATGGGAAAGGGTAAACACTGACACACAAGCAAAAAGACTGAGAGAAAAGATTAACTGAAGCTAAAAGGAACGTTTTTGCACCTTATTTACCCCTAAACGGTACATATCAGTACCTTAAAGGAACTAGTACTTATTCTACCTAAAGTGTACATATTAGTTCCCTTTGAAAAGGTATCGCCCCAGTGACAGTTTTGTAATTTTTTTCTGAGTGTGTATGTTGATATTTGATAATTTTATTTGGTTTTAAAAAATTTTGAAAAGTTACTTTGTAAATGAAAACGTTACTTCAATATATAAAATAAATAAATTTTGTATCAAATATAACGTAAAGAAATTGTTGGGGGAATGGAAAGTTGAAATAAATAAATATGTAACATTTTAAATAAATCACTAAAATAAAAAAACAAAATTATGAAACAATATGAAGACCTATGCAAATGGTAAACATTCGAGTATATGAGGAAACATTAAATAAAAACATGAAATATTAACATATAATACACAATACTGTTCAAAACATTGAGTCAGTAAGATTTCTTTAAAAAAAAATTATACTTTTATTCAGCAAGGATGCATGAAATTGTTCGAACGACAGTAAAGACATTTATACTGTTACAAAAGATTTCTATTTCAAATAAATGCTGTTCTTTCGAACTTCTATTAATCAAAGAATCCTGAAAAAAAAGTATCATGGTTTATGCAAAAAAAATTCAGCACAACGGTTTTCAACATAAAAATAATAAATGCTTCTTGAGCATCAAATCAGCATATTAGAATGATTTCTGAAGGATCATGTGACACTGAAGACTGGAGTAATGATGCTGAAAATTCAGCTTTGACTCACAGGAATAAATTATATTTTAAAACATTACAATAGAAAATAGTTGTTTTAAATTGTAATAATATTTCACAATATTGCTGTATTTTTGATCAAATAAATCAGTGGTTCCCAACCCTGGTCCTGGAGGCACCCCAACACTGCACGTTTTGCATGTCTCCTTAATCAAACACACCTGATTCAGATCATCAGCTCATTAGTAGAGACTCCAAGACCTGAAATTGGTGTGTCAGAGAAAGGAGACATGCAAAATGTGCAGTGTTGGGGGTGCCTCCAGGACCAGGGTTGGGAACCACTGAAATAAATGAACAGAAGAGACTTCTTTAAAAGAACAAAAAACTTTATTCATGTAAGTCTTCATAAGTATTGTTTCATAATTTGAGTGATTATTTAATTGCTAACATTTCACACGTGATATGATGCAGTACCGTGGTATTGTTATTCACCAAATAGGGGTTAGGATGTTAATGTAGGTCAACTGTTCATTACTGTAACTCATTACTGTAATGGGACACATTGAGAACATATTTACATGTGGATTAGACTTGCATGTTTAAAACAATAAGATTTTCTTTATAGGCCTTTTGATTGTGGGCTGTGACACTGTCAGCATAAGTACACATGCATATAGAGTGAGTGAGTCAGTGAGTGTGTGTGTGTGTGTGTGTGTGTGTGTGTGTGTGTGTGTGTGTTGAACAAGGCTGTTCTTGCATGAGACTTATTTTCATGAGACTTATTTTCATGAGCACTTTCTTTTGAACACAGGTTGACTGTCACTGTATCCGTTTTGTGTCTGTGTGTGAGTTCCTGTTAAATGATTTTGGACAAAAGTATGTAATGATAAATGTGGGAGTGTTTAAACATAACAGTGTGAGTAAATGTGTGTCTGTTTGCACATACACTTCCTTTATAAACACATCCACGTGCTTGTGTCTGCGCGTGCTTCCTTGTGAAAAGGCAATTTATCTCTCATAATAGAAAGTATGTGTCAGGTAAAACAAACATTGATTACAGGAATAGTCACTATGAGATTATTGACTTCCTATGAAGGCGGTAGGTCTGTAAAACGATAAGGTCGATATGAAAACAATTTTATCACTATGATAAAACGCATCTTAATTTATCTTGTAATGTTTTGGTGTTTTATATGGCTGTTTTCTTAAGGCTCTTTCCGGCCAGTCCCAGTAAAGAGCCAATTAGGCTAAATGAAATATGGATTATAATAAAGTGAAATTCTGAATGCATGCAAATTATATGGAAAAATAAGAAATAAATATCAGTTAAAAGCGATATTTGATTTTGAATGGTCACAAATACCATATACATTTAGAGGCAGATGTCCACTTAATATTCAGATTAGAGATCAACCAGTATGGGTTTTTGGTTCTTGAATTATTACTTTTGGTCCTCCTAAAATCCATAGTGCACTGTTTAAAAGTCTGGGGTCACCAAGATTTTTTTTTTTTTAATTAATACTTCCAAAAATGTATGAAAAGTGACAGAAAAGACACTTATAAAAATAAAAGATTTCAATACAAAAGAAATGCTGCTCTTTTGAACTTCCTGTTCAAAGAATCATGAAAAACAATGAAAAAAAAAATCAGCTTTGCCATCACAGAAATAAATTACATCTTAAAATATATTCAAATAGAAACCATTCTTTAAAATTGTAATAATATTTAACAATTTTCACTGTTTTTACGGTATTGTTGAATCAAATAAATGCAGCCTTGGTGAGCAGAAGAGTCTTCTTTCGAAAACATTAAACTGCAAACTTTTAAACAGTATTGTATGTGGTTATATCCTTGGATTATTTACATGTTTTTGTTAAACCTAAAGTTTAGATCAGATTACATTTCAATAATTACAGTCAAAATAAAGTGTTTCGATTATAACTTCCCATCTATACTGAGAGTGAACAATGTGGCACAATAAAACCAGAACATGGTAATCAAAGAAACACTAAAGCTTGATTTCATCATTCCAATTTTGTCACGTCACTCATTTAGTGTAGACACAGTAAAACTGTCAGAGCACTGGGTCTGATTAATCGTGGGGTGCTCCATATCCCCGTCCGCTCCCACGCTGCGGCCCACTCAGGGCCCGCCTGGGCCGGGCACGTTGCACTGACTCAGGACCTGCTCCGGTCTTGTCTGGCACAGGGCCTGGACTGAAAACCCCACAGACTTGCCAGAAAGTGAGTCAGTCTTTTCCACCCAGACACCCTGAACATGCTAGAATGCAGTGCTATTCTCTCTCATCGTCTCGAACTGTTTAACATTCTTTATTCTGTTTTAAAACATTAACATCACCTCTGCCATAAAGTTAATAAACTTCACTGACATGCACCAACGGTATTGAGGATAAGACATTATCTCAGCACAAAGTGAGAAGCAAATATCCACATTCCAGAACAAAAATTAAGAAAAAAAAAGTTAGACGATAAGGGGAAACCCAGATGACAAAATAGAATTTCACCGAACTTGTAACTATATTATGTTGACATGTTCCCAAAAGGCTTTGTTTTCATTTATTTTTCATGCAGTGTGCCTTGATTAAAATTTTCGACACTCCTACAGAGTGCACTTTTTCTTTGTTTCTCTTTTATATGCGTTTAATCTGTTGTTTTATATCACTGTGTAACACCGGGACACCCTTTGGATTTATACAATACAACCATAAATGAACATTTTGAGGGTTCTTATTTATTTTGGCCAATAAATTCCATGACTTTTCTAGTCGTTTCAATAAAGTGCATATACACATACACACGTGAGATCGAAGTGACCGTTATTACTGATACTGACGGAGTCTGTACATTGTCTCAAAGACAGTCACTTGCCGCCACCAACTGGCGTAATGATGTAACTGCAGAAAGAGTCACCGCTAACATGCAAAAGGCATTTCTAGTCAAAAGAATTACTTGAATATGAATGTTTACTCACTTCTGAAATTCCTTGAGATTTCTAGGCTTTTCATAACTGTGAATCCTGCAGATAATTCCATTTGCAGTATTTAACACTCCTTTCTTATTTTACTACTACTAATAATAAAACATTTTGGTAGAATTTAGTGTTCAGGATTTGTCTCGACACTGAAATTTGGGCACAACTAAAAATGTCAAGTAGAAGCTGTGAGGCTGTAAAATGTTGAAAACTAGACCTAGATAGCCTACCATTCATTGCTATAAGACTAAGTGATTAGATGACAACATGTGCATCCATCTCACTCACCTCTGCCACCTGTCAGTCTGCCTTGTTTTCATCCTCCTCCATTGCCTTTACTTGACCTGACAACATTAAAGCAAATATGTAAATGTAGTAACAGTTCCCCAAAAACTAGACACATTTTTAAACTACTTACATGAATCTTTGGCACTTTAACCATGATGTCCGCCCTAGCTGTGTCCAGCACTTTTTAGCCACAACTGGCTAAAATGGCTACTATTAATGGCTACAGTTTACAGTCAAGATGTGCTTTCAATAAACGACTAGAAAACCACATTTATTACTGCAGTGTGTTAGATGAGTCTCTTCTCTGAGTTGGTGTAGAAACACGTTCAAACAGATCAGTGAGCATCACTAGAGCTTTTCAATCAATCAGACCCCTGTCGATCACTAAAGATCACGTGGTGATCAATTATGTCATCAAACGCCTAATGAACGATTTCCTGCCACTGCGTCTAAAATTTCAAATTAAAATTTACCAAAAAACGAGAGAATTTTAAAGTTAGAAATATGAGCTAAAAAGTAATGAAATGTAAAATTACATGTCATACACACACACATACACATATAATCATATTTGATTTGATTTGACACAGCTCATATTTCTAACTTATGTACGTTTTAATTTAGACTTTTTGTCTAAATTCTCTCTCTTTTTAAAAAAAAATTAAATTTTGATTTACCAAAGCATTTTTTTTTTCTTAGGTGGTGGAAATTGGCTTCCATATTTAAGCCCTCTAGTCTAGAGGAATAATTTTTAATTGAAAAAAGTGTCATATTATTCTATACTTTTATAACAAAAAGTTGACGAAAAGTCAGTTTCATCTACTTTAATATTATGAAGTAGGCTATATGAGTGAAGTGTCTGTGCCTGACGAAGACTTGTTCGAAACGTTGCAATAAACAATTTTTTATGGAGCAGTTACATCAGTGTGCGGACATTTGTTTTTTGCTTCAGTTTGTCTCTTTTGTCCTGCACCTGAGCCCTGTTTGGGTTTGTGTGATGTGTGCACCTTTTTTGTATTTTTGACTTTGAAATATACGAGTGGCTATCAATATACAAAGATGCTTTTTGGATCTAGATCTAGGAGGGGCTAACTGACAGAAACTTGACCCCTTCATTTGGGATGTGAATTATGGATAAAGGTTAGTCTAGGAATGAGAAACCAAAAGAAGTTTTTAAAACAAGGTACCGGCGGTTATTCCTAGATCATTTTAAGTCCACAGGCCATTAATTCAGCTAAGAAGCAGAGCACAGCAGGGTCAGAATCAGTGTCTAGGAAACCCAGACACACAAAGCCTTTGCTTTTGGCTCAGTATTGTACATTAGTTAATCTTAGGCCAAAGCTCGTGCCATTTCTTCAGAATCAGAATCAAAAGCCTTTTCATTCATCTTTTAGTTCAGGTTTTCTTTATTGATTTCTCCACATGTGATCTGCTGAGTTCACTGATATCTCCATGCCATCCTAAACACATTACTGTGACCAGGTCTTCAAAATGCAATACAAAACTGGATTCAAAACTGAACAGATGCTTTAATATTTGTTAATCATGGTTCAATAGAAGGCTGTTTAGGTGTCTACCACATTGGGCAAGTGGATTAATTTTGCTAGTGGTAGAGACGGTTAGCATAATCAGTCATGCAAAGTATTTTCTAGCTCATTTCAGTGCCATGATTGCCTCTTTTTACATCACATAAATCTGTGCATAACCATCTTAGTTCAACATGTAGATTGTGTTTATTGCAGTACGTGGACGGGCGATCATTTAATTTCTATTTTACATTGAGAGATGCAGAATATTAAAAGAACCTAATGCACTGTTTTTCAGACACAAATGCACAAATCCATCAGTGAAATGTTGCAGGGTTCAGAATACACTCAGTTCATAAAAATAAAATAAAATAAAAGATCAATGCAAATGATTAAACAAATACCATCTTATATTGTACATGGCATTATATCTTAAATTTACAACAAACTAATATAAATAAATATTGTATTACTAACATATCTATATTAAAATGCCTTTGAGTGCTCATTTAATTTATCTTCTTTTCTACTATGCAAGAGCTTGTAAAAGTCCATAAAAGCAGACTGATTGTGGAGAGTCAAGTTACTTGAATTTGATGCTGATAAAGGAGAATATACAGTAAGACGTGGTATAAAAATATCCATTGAATGTTCAGTAATGCTGCCACACTACACCATACAATAATAAATCAGAAATGATATTTTTTAAAAATGGATTCATCAAATGACATGTAAATGCAATCACACATGACTGTGGATGTGAAAGTGTGTCTCTGGAATGCCACTGCACCTGTTGGAGCGGCTCGTCTTCTCACACACACACCATCATCATGCTGTAATCAGGAACACTGTGAACTCATGTGTTATCCACAGGCAGTCTCTACAGACACTTACCTTTAAAAAAGTCTCATCCCAGGCCTCTAGGTGTATGACTGTGTTTCTATTCAAAGTTAGCGCAATATCGTACAGTGTATGTGGTTAGACTGTCTCATTATGGCAGTCAAAGAATGAGAGCTGAAGGTCATTGAGAAACTTTGCTTCATCCCATTATCACTGCACTGTATGTGAAGAATTCAAGAAGATGAAGTCTGTTATCTGTCTCTTGTCACTGAAAACAATTTAAAGCACCTGAGTTATGAATTCATGAAACTGAACTCATGATATTTGAGCTCTACAGTTAACATAATTGATGCTATTTATTTACTTACTATATGTTTTATCATGCATGCTTCATTAGTGCATGTTACTTAAGTAAACGGCTTGCAAATGCCATCTCATAAAGTCTTCATCAACTCACAAGGTGAAATGTAGGCCAGAAATAGTCTTTTTTTTCCTTTAAAATTACTTGTTTTCAATCTCAGACATCTCCATTTGTGTTTGAATGACTAGAGAGTTTTCAGCAAGTGCAGAAAAGGTTTTCCAGAATCAGAGCTGAATCCGCTGTTATTTTGTGGCTCGTCCTGATGACAGTGAAACAGAGCGAATGAGTTGTTTCCGTTGGCCTTTTGGGCATCGACGTAGAACAAAGTCGTAGTTGGCTGATGTAGACATGGCATAATATACGTTGGCCTTTTCTGGAATATGCAGCTCTACAACAAAAATATGCACAAGAATTATAAACATTGCATATGTGCGTTATTTTTAATAAACATCAGAAGATTAACCTTACATTCATAGTTTTTATCTAAACGTATATAGTGGGTTTCAGAACATTCTCTAATTTTACTAATGACACATGTTATTTATTTAAATTAGTTTTCAGTACCCCTGCCTTGGGCCAGAACTTGTACGAGGGTGAAGTCCTGCTCACTAACATCCTCCAGGTTGTGTTTTTGCAGGGCTCTCTGGATCACCTGGGCCGTCTTATCCTGACTGGTCAACTGAGCAGGAAATCATTAAAAAAAAAAAATCATAAAAGTCAGCTGAGAAAGAACAGAAACCAGTTTTTGTTAAATATTTACAGAAACTTAATAAAAGAAATATTCCACAATCTTTAGTAGTTGATATTCAGCAGAAGAGGATATGAAAGTTTACTCAAAGAACAGGTTTTGAAAGATGTGGATTTAAGCACAAATGACTCCTAGATTTTCTCTGAATCATATGAACAGTTAGATTTATATTTAACAAACAACAACCTTTTTGATTATGCATTTGATGATAATGATTAAGTAGCTAATAAAGAAGGTGCTAAATTGCACCTATGAATAGCATTTAATGCATTTTAGTAGGCTCTGTAATGAATACTAGCTAAGTTGAGTATCTAAAAGAAAATTTCTACTTTGGTTTTGGTAGACTGCAGTGGTTCCCAAACCTGTCCTGGAGGCCCCCCTGCCCTGCACCTTTTGTATGTCTCCCTTATCTAACACACCTGATTCCACTCATCAGCTCGTTAGTAGAGACTGCAAGAACTAAATTGGGTGTGTCTGATTAGGGAAATGTGCAGGGCAGGGGGTCCTCCAGGACAGGTTTGGAACCACTGTGGTAGAGCATTTGTTGCAAGTCAAATGAAATCTCTATGATAGTTTATTTCCATTATGATACTCTAAACAGCCGGGGGGTTTTTTCATAATAGCAAATTTTTATTATATATTTACTAGTGCTGTCAAACGATTAATCGTGATTAATCACATCCAAAATAAAAGTTTTTGTTTACATAATATATGAGTGTGTACTGTGTATATTTATTATGCATATACAGAGATACACACACATACAGTATATATTTAAGAAGTGTATATATATATATATATATATATAAAACAATTGTATATCAAACCAAAATTATGCTAGAGATGCAAAAATAAATTATTATTATTCAATTATTAATTAATAATTTAATTAAGTAATTGTTTACACGTATATATAATTAAATCTTAAATGATTTTTTAAATTGTTTAAATATTTAATAGATGCTGTACAATATTTATAGCTACTGCTTTCCCTGTCCCATACTTACCAGTATGCTCTTGTACATGTTGCCATTGTTGCAGAACTCCACGCTGACCCTGATGATGCATGAGTCGTCCACCTGCCTGTTGTAGAAGGGCAGGGAGGTCATGGAGACAGAGCGCTTATGGGAGGAGACCAGGTGAGGGTCAGCTGACGCTGAAGAAGAGGAGGAGGAGGAAGATGGATTCAGGATGAGGTCCTGCTGAGAGCTGGAGGACGAACTAGACACGGTGGAGGAATCAGGAGAGGAAGACGAGGGAAAAGCCTCAGTGTTCTGACTGCAGCTGGAAAGAGCCTATGAGATGAGAGGAGACATTTCAGAGCCACTTTTATCATAAGACACCATCACAATCATTATCAGGTGTGAAGCAACAGTTCAGGACTGGCGCAAACAGATTTGGATGATTAGATATAGACAAAAATACCAGGTGACAACTTTGTAAGGGGTTAATGTAGAGTTGAATGGTTATTATATTGCCTGAATGATAATATTACATAAATTTTGTTGATTTGAGCGTATTATGGGAGAAGAATGAAAGCATGAAACTAGCTACATAGAAAATAGAGGATGCTGCTGGTTACACCAAGGTTTTGGGTTCAATTCCTGTTAAAATGTAGCCTGAATGCATATAGCCAAATGCATGAATGTAATGTTGTAAAGAAGCATATATGAACTGAACAGCAACTTCAAACGATGGAAGCGATTAGGACAAACATTTCCAAGAATTTGAAGCATTTGAGTGCTGACGTCTGTCTGTCCCTGAATACGGTACAGAGGACATGACTCCTCACACAAAGGACACTTTTTTAATGCTGCGCTTGAGTCACGACAGCAACGTAAACGCATGAGACATTAAAAACAAGGACAGAAACTTTAGCTGTCTGTAGGAAATTATGTCAAAGACCTTAGAAGTGAACAGTGATAATATCTTGATGTCCTTAAAAGACATAAAATGGCTCAACAAGGCTGCATTTGCTTGATCAAACATACAGTAAAAACTGTAATATCGTAAAATATTATTACAATTTAAAATAGCTGCTTTTTAGTTAAATATATTTTAAAATGCAATATATTCCTGTGATGCAAAGCTGAATTTTCAACATCATTACTCCAGTCTTCAGTGTCACATGATCCTTCAGAAATCATTCTAATATGCTGCTTAAGAAACATTATCAATGTTGACTAAAAAAATGATAATTCATATCTAAAGATGACAAGAGGTGTATTAAAATGATTGTAATGATAGCTAATTTTTATTAGGATTAATAACTGAATGTCCCTACTGACAAATGCACTAAATGAAAGAGTCTAAATTAATAAATGTAAATGTGTATGTGTGCGCACAATTACCGGTGATAAAAAAGATGATGACTGAGCAGCAGATATTTCCTCAGTTTCAGAGCTGCTGGATCCTGATGAGGACACGCTGATCTGGTCTGAGTTCTTTTTGGACCCCTCGTTCCCTGACAAGAGCCTGCAAACACAGATTTTTGCTATATTACGCCAGTGAAAGCTTGCAGATAACAGGACAGTTGCTGGAAACTCAAGCTAAAATGGCGCTTAAGCTAGAATTATACTCACGATGAGAGCTTTTTGGTGAGAGTTCGGTGACTCCAGCCACTGTTGGATGGAGAAGTGTCTTGAGGAGTCTCCAGCTGTCTGGAAAATTCATAGCTGAGGACAGTGACACATAAGCACGATTCAAATGTAGGAAAAGCCAGGATTTTGGGGAAATCTCTTTAAAATGTGATCTATGTTGTTTCTAATTGTTTTTTTTATGAATAAAATGACATTGACATTGATATTAATTGTATAACCTCAAAAAAGGACCTAAAATTTGCTACATACATTTACCCGCCACTTTCATAAATCTATCATGACTCAACTCGTATGATTGGAGTCTCACCTCTCCTGATCCGACAGCAGTTTCTGACTCTGCAGCCATGCAGCGATCTGAGGATGATGGGGTAAAACATACTGAGAACACGAGGCCTGCAGCTGACGGATCTGCCTTAAAATCTCATGTTCCTGCAAAACAGTGGGAGTAATTCCCATGAAATGAAGAGGCAAAGCAACAATATACAGAGCAAGAGATTAAAGAGGAATACAAGGAACAAAGCCATGACTGTTATGTAACACACCATGCACAAATAATTCGTCATGAGATTAATATCAGTCCGCCTTCAGAAGAAGAGAGTGCTCTGTAAACATAAGTCTATATCTCTACGGCGCCAACGTCAAACCGACGCTTTAAAGAGGACTTCATGTTTGTTCAGAATGGGCTCTTTAAGATCACACCAAATCTATAGCAACAACAACATCTGGACAAAGACAGATAACCTTGGCTGTGTTCAATTAGACAGTTAAGAAGATAAACAAAGAGAAGGACTCACCCGTCTCCTCTTTTCAAAATTAATGAGGCCACCCTGTTGATAGTATGTACAGAAATCAATAAAAATGATCATGACATTAATGACAATTTTGCATGTGCAACCAAATGAAAAATGGATAAAAGAACTATTTTACATTTTCAAAAGAAAATGTGAGAGATGCAAACATCAAGGTGTTGCTCGGTGTCTGCTAAGGTGGGGTTTTTTTTCACAGTTGCTATGCAGTTGCTAGGGTGTACTGGCTGGTCACTAGAGCGTTGCTAGGGTGTTGTGCAAGATTTTAGAGCATATTGTAATGCAGCTACTATTTCTGATTGATTGATTGGTTTTATCACATCTTCTTCTAGAGTAGTCTGAGTGTTGCTAGGGTGTTCTGGCTGGTCAGTAGAGCATTGCTAGGGTGTTGTGCATGATAATTAAGCACATTGTAATGCAGCTACTATGATGTTTTGAGTGTTTTATAGCACGTTCTCTGCTAGAGTAGTCTGAGTGTTACTAGGACATTGCTATATTGTTGCTATGGTGTTGCTAGGGTGTTCTGTCTGGTCATTAGAGCGTTTCTAGGGTGTTGTGCATGATCTTTGATTACATTGTTCTGCAGCTACTATGATGTTCTGAGTGGTTTTAGCCATTCTCTGCTAGGGTAGTCTAAGTGTTGCTAAGGCATCGCTAGGGTGTTGCTATGGTGCTCTGTCTGGTCATTAGAGTGTTTCTAGGGTGTTGTGCATGATCTTTGCATTGTTCTGCAGCTACTATGATGTTCTGAGTGGTGTTAGCCATTCTCTGCTAGGGTAATCAGAGTGTTGCTAAGGCATCGCTAGGGTGTTGCTATGGTGTTCTGGCTGGTCACTAGAGCGTTTCTAGTGTGTTGTCCGTGATCTTTAATCACATTGTACTGCAGCTACTATGATGTTCTGAGTGGTTTTAGCCATTCTCTGCTAGGGTAGTCATAGTGTTGCTAAGGAGATGCTAGGGTGTTGCTAGGGTGATCTGGATGGTCACTAGGAACATTTAAGTTCCTAAATGCTCCTAGTGACCATAAGGATGTTTCTAAGTGGCTGCAAGGTAGTTGCTAGAGTGTTCTGTATGTTTTTAACACATAATAATGTGGCTGTTAGGGTGTTGTGAGTGTTTAAGCACATTTTCTGCTAGAGGTATTCTGAGTGTTGCTAGGGTGTTGCTAGCATGTTCTGTGTGTGTTTTCAATTATGTGGCTGTTAAGGTATTCTGAGTGTTGCTAGGGCATTGCTAGGATGTTGCTAGGGTGTTCTGGATAGCCATTAGGACATTTTTAAGTGGCTGCAAGTTAGTTGCTGTGGTGTTCTGTGTGATTTTAGTGGCCAATTATGTGGCAACTAAGGTGTTCTGGGTGTTTTTAGCACACAATAATGTGCCTGTTTGGGTGTTCTGAGTATTTTTAGTGCATTCTCTGCAAGGGGTATTCTAAGTGTTGCTAAGGTATTGCTAGGATGTTGCTATGGTGTTGCTAGGGTCTTCAATAATGTGGCTGCTAGGGCCTTCTGAGTGTTTTTAGCACCATCTCTGCTAATGTATTCTGAGTGATGCTAGGACGTTGCTAAGGTGTTGCTAGGGTGTTCTGGGTGGCCATGCTGTGGTGTTCTGCTGATTTTAGTGCCCAATTGTGTAGCTGCTAGGGTGTTTGGGGTGTTTTAGGGCATTCTGTGCTAGGGTATGATTGCTAGGTGTTTGCTAAGCGACGGAAATGTAATAGTATGAGCATCACTAATAAAGGCAAGCAGTCTGTCATTTCTAAACAAACATGATTCCAACCTCACCTCCACAGTGTCTGGTAGGGCAGTGTCCAGCATGGTCAGTACTGTAAGGTATGTCCCCAGATATGGAACTGTCCCTCCAGCTGAGCTCTGTAAGAAATCACCCCGCTATTAATCACCTGAACAGCATCACCGTAAAACACTGATATATATATTTTATACTGAATATAAAAAGTGTGTCAACTGTCATCATCTTCACCATCTGTTTTGTTAAAGGGCATCTCTTGGATGTTTTTGTGGTAGTGTTATCCATGTCAGCTTGACTCCCATCCTAAAACATGTGAGAAATAGCATGAAGTCAAGCTAAGATGTGACACTCTAATAATTATAAAAATACACCGCACAAACAAATACTGGGTAAAAGAGTCAATTAAATAATTAGAACTGAGGCCCTTTGTTTTTCGCTCATCGATAATAAGAATAGTGCTTTCACATGAACTCTGAGATCAGGTCATTGCTCTGATAATACCAGCACACTCTGGTCAAACAAAGTAGTCAATATCAGTGTGTCTCAGTCCATAATATCATAAGTGGATTAAGAAAAGAACTCCAAATTTGAGATAAAATGTGTTCCACTTGAAATTGCAAATGAACGCTAAATTAAATTCACGTCGCTTGGACTGATTAAAAAAACCTTGATAAAAACCATATCAAAGTCTATTCAAGGCATATTGAATTACCGTGATTATATGGTTTTAAAGGAAATGCTTAACGCTAACAATCTTTTCATCAGGTAGCACAATATTCCAGTGTTGTTATTGTTAAAGGGTTAGTTCACCCAAAAATTCTGTCATTAATTACTCACCCTCGTGTTGTTCCAAACCCGTAAGACCTTCGTTCATCTTCGGAATACAATTTAAGATATTTTTGATGAATTCTGATGGCTCTCTGACCCTCCCATAGACAGCAAGGTAACTACCACGTTCAAGGTCCAGAAAAGTACCAAGATGCGAGAATACTTTTTTGTTCAAAGAAAACAAAAATAACGACTTTATTCCACATTTTCGTCTCTACTGCGTCACTTGTGGATGCGTGTTCACGACAGTATCAGAACGAGAGCGTGTGGCGGCGCTGACACCGATCCGGCGTGATGACGCCGCCACACGCTCGCGTCATGGTACTGTCGTGAATGCGCGTCCAAAGTGACGCAGTAGAGACGAAAATGTGGAAGAAAGTCGTTATTTTTGTTTTCTTTAAGCAAAAAAGTACTCTCGTAGCTTTGTAACTTTACAGTTGAACCACTGATGTCACACGGACTTTGTCGATCATCTTGGTACTTTTCTGGACCTTGAACGTGGTAGTTAACGGGTTTCGAACAACACGAGGGTGAGTAATTAATGACAGAATTTTCATTTTTGGGTGAACTAACCCTTTAAAGGGAATATTGGATGCCATTTTTCACAAGTTAGTATGATTATTTAGGGTCTTCATGAATGTCTGCAACATACTCTGGTTAAAATTCCTCAGTGGTCATGTAAAACAACACCCTTTTTACCTCTTCAAAAACAGCTCTGTTCACAGTGAGCCATTTCGGTGCATGTCTCTTTAAATGATAATGAGCTACTGCCCAAAGGGGACATTGATCTTCCACAAGTTGGTATGATTCTTTAGGGTCTTCATGAACGGTCTGCAACATACTTTGGTTAAAATTCCTCAGTGGTCATGTAAAACAACACCCTTTTTACCTCTTCAAAAACAGCTCTGTTCACAGTGAGCCATTTCGGTGCATGTCTCTTTAAATGATAATGAGCTACTGCCCAAGTACTTAAAATAAAAATCAAATCAAAATATTAATTCGAAATATTACTAAACACTATAACAGTATATAAATAATACTAAAATAACACTGATGTGTTGACGGCTTACATCCACAAATATTTCTCGGCTGGTCAGAACACAGTTCTCATCGGGGAATGTTTCACACAGGTTCTCAAAGACAGACATGGCCTCTCTGGAGATACAGAATCAGAGATTTACAACAAAATATGGCTTAACCATAATGCTTTCCACAAACGACTCAGGTTTTCTACTAAGTTGCTAGAAAAAACTACACAGAGAACAAAACCAGCTATACGAGACTATAGTGACCACATAGTGACTATAGTGACCATAACATATGTGCAGTGTATCTGTACCTGCTGAGAGCAGCCCATGTTTTCCTTAGTCTGTAGATGGGGTTGGACTGAAGGGCAGATAAAATGGCCTTAAGAGAAGAGAAGTTCTTCAGCTCTCTGCACCCCTACGTGAAATGAAAAAGTCATTCTTTAACACAATATCTTTGAAGGAGTCTTAAAAAAAGACTAAAGCTCACATGGACAGAGTGAGAGTGACTTTGAAACACTGAAGATCATTTAAACCTCCACCCATCTCTAAAAAAAGAGCGAACCTGTGCAATCCGAACCCATTTTTCAATGATTTTGGCTCTTTGTGTGGCAGAAGACGAGGATCGAAGCAGAGAAGTGATGACCCAGCTGGTGACTGCATTAAATTGGGCGATGGTGGCCCAAATAGTGGGTGAGAGGTTCTCTTTCTTGTCCCGTTGAGACCACACACAGCCCAGACATTGGAAAGGGACCACCTTCATGAACAGGTCCTACAAACATCAAGAACACAAACATTACAAGTCAATATAACCATGAGGAGTCAAGCAGAAGCAAGCTATGAAACACTGGCACTCACAGCATCCATTCGTGTGAGCTGTTCGGCAACATCCGTAATGGAGAAACTCAAGAAATCCATTAGGTTATCGGACTCAAAGTCTCTCTCCTTATTCAAAGCTGATTCTTCTAGATGATCAACTGGACCACCTGCCACAACATCTGGATGTGCAAAAGACAGACTGATTCAAGAGGCTACATGTGATCTATACACATTTTTCAGCCTATAACAATAAATAAAAATTTGATGTGCACATCAAATAAAAAATGCAATAAATTTCAATATATAATCTATCAATTATCTATTTATGTAATTGAGAGACTATACGCAGTATTTGTGCATTTATAAACATAAGTGTGTAAATTCATACATAAATCAAATAAAAATAAATAAAATACATTTAAACATCCATTTGTTAACACTACAAGACTAATTAGGTTAACTGCAAAAAAAGATGGGATTAAATATGGTGAAAATATACACTACCATTTAAAAGTTTGGAATCAGTAAGATTTTTTAAATGTTTTTTAAGAAGTCTCTTATGCTCACCATAGCTGCATTTATTTGATGAAAAATACAGTAAAAACTGTGAAATTGTGAAATATTATTACAATTTTACATAACTGTTTTCTATTTGAATGTAATTGTGTAAAAATGTCATTTATTCCAGGGATCGAAGCTCAATTTTCAGCATCATTACTCCAGTCTTCAGTGTCACATGATCCTTCAGAAATCATTCTAATAATCAGTTCTGATTTGATGCACAAGAAACATTTCTTATTATTATCAGTGTTGAAAACAGTTTTGCGGATTAATATTTTTGTGGAAAATTTGATATATTTTTTCAGGTTTCTTTAATGAATAGAAGAATCAAAAGAACATCATAAAAGTGATAATTCGCAATACATTATCCAAAATGACCTTCAGCTTGGAATTTCCTAAGGAGCGTTTCATAGCGCTTGGCCAGCGGGAAGAGAGCAGGGTGTCCTCTCAACTGCAAGCACATGAGACGCAGTGACGAGTGCATGGGAGCGTCCCTCAAATCATCACTGTACTCCTCCAACCACATCTGAAGCACAGTCCACAAGGAGCTATGAGGGAAATAAATCAATAAATATAAATATATACACACTGAAGCTGCATTTTCAAAATTGTATTACATGCAGCAACTGTACATATGTAGAGCCACAGTGTTTATATATACACACACACACACACTGACAATTTAATCTAGGTCTACTGTACATAAAAGATTTATCAGACATCCCATTTTCCGAGTATATTTTTACCTGTTAGGGTAATTGGTGCTGTCAAGCGCAGACACAAGGTTGCCCCTATTGGAAAAAAAGAAAAAAGAAAAAAAGTAAAGTTCTTTACAAATACTATTTATATATAAACATTACTAGTACTGTGTGGTGCTTAATTATTTTAAGACTTCTTGTCGTAAAACCTTATTGACAAAACAGTGTAATAAGAGACAGTAGCTATAAATCAAATTACCAAGACACACCTTTACATTTTACATGTTCAAGTATGACTGAAAGACTAAAATAAAACCTTTATTTATTAGTATCTGCGTTGTTTTCCAGTAAAAATATCTAAAAGATGAATTTGCTAGAGAAGCAAAACTAATAAATGAATAAATAAAGTGTGATGAATAAAAATAGTGCAATAAATTAAAAAAAAAATAGTGCAAACAATCAATCATTCAGGGTAATTAGATTTATATGGACACTGCATTCGTCTAATATCTTTCAAACTTTAAAAGTGATGCTTTTAATTTGCAAGATTCAACCAACACCCAGGCTTTCTTGCTTGTCTGTCATATTCTGTAATGGTTTAATGAATAGAAAAAACCGGCTTTCACAACCCAAGTGTTAAATCAAAAGTGTGAAATTTATCATTCAAAGCTGCCTAATTGAAACCTCAAAGAAGGTTGATGAGTATATAAACCCATGAACCTTCAGAGACGACCAGTGGAAACTGAGTTCAAGGAAGTGATCAGTGATGACGTATCTTAATGATGTAGGAAAAAAACTGAACACACACAAACTACTGATAACCAAATACAGCTGGCCATCACAAACTCACATTTGCATATTAGTGTGCACACATCTAACACACCTCTGAAGGAGCATCTCGATGAGTTTGTTGGAGCTGGTGAAGGTGCGATACGTGGACAGCAGTATCCTGCCGTAGTCTTGCTCCTGACAGCAGGGGTCCAGAAGGTGAGAGACAAGCTTGTCCAGCGTGGCCGCTTTTAGCCTGCGTACTTTACATGTTCGGTACTGAACGAAAGCCTTTGTGGGATCGGCTGACTGCTGGACCGGCTCTCTGCGCAGGGTGATCCCAAACACCGCCCCATTTTCGTGCTCCTCACCCCACTCTTGAACAGGCTCCTTTGCCAAAAAAAAAAAAATAAATTACTAATAATCCTCATATTTTTCGAAAAAATAATATACTGTATTTCACTGAAAAAATACACATTTTCTTATGATTTTCTATAGGCTATTTACTTATCCACGTTGTTCCAAATTTATACTTGTTTGTTTTTACAAAAGAATAATTTTTTAAAGAATTGTACTGAGTAGATAAATAATGATAGAATTTTCATTTCCGAGGGAACAATTTATATAATTGAGACTATATTAAATGTATGACATCATGAGATGTGTGATTAATTATGCTGAAAACATAAAAGAAACAATGACTGCACAGTTACAACACCTAAAACATACACTACTGTTCAAAAGTTTAAAAAAAACAGACACTACCTTTCAAATTTTGAAAAAAGTCTCTTCTGCTCACCAAGGCTTCATTTATTTGATCAAAAGTACAGTAAAAACAGTAATATTGTGAAATATTATTACGATTTAAAATAGCTGTTTTCTATTTGAATATATTTTAAGATGTAATTTATTCCTGTGATGCATTGTTTGTAAAACAACACTGGTGACTGGCCTGCCAGCTAAAAGCAGCATGGATTTGCAAACCACAGACATGAGGACAAAGTGTCATTAAGACATGCTTCAGCTGCCTGACGAGCAGCTGATGTGACTATAACATTAGGGCAAGTCCACACGAGCACACCTGAGCCATTCTGAGTAAGGATCACTCCTCCTGCTGAGTATGGGTTATGTGCTCACGGTAAACTACTATTATGAGCTGCTGTGACACTCCAGACTATCAATTACAGCCCATTATTGATGAGTTAAAATGATAAACTAGGAGAACTGAAGATGTGAAAACAAGCAAGCAAAACAAGAGACTACTGTTCAAATCCAAAGCTTCAAGAGAATTAAACTGTGCTTGAAAACAAGAAAAAGGAATAATAGGTGGTAAAGCATGTTGCTATGCAGTTGCTAGGGTGTTCTGGGTGGTTGTACCAAAGTGTACCAATGAGTGGTGGATTGCCAGGGCATTGCCATTCAGTTGCGAGACATGTGCGAGACGTGAATTTAAATTGTATTTATTTACAGAGGTATATTAAATCACATTTGACACTTTTCTAGTAAGTTTCGTTTGTGTGTGAAGACGCTGCAGGCCATGGCGTAGCGCAAATCCATGAATGAATGTTCCGAAGTGAAGTAAACTTCAACAGATTTCCCGTGCTCAGGGAGTAGGGAGCAATGAACACTGTGTAGGGACCATGTCAATCGGAACACAGTTCATGCATGGAACTCTGGAATTGAGAACCACTGTTATAAGGGGTTGCTAGGATGTCACCAGGGTGTATCCAAAAGTTTACCAGCATGACACTATGTTATTGTGGGTTGCCAAGGTGTTGCTACACAGTTGCTACATTGTTCTAAGTAGTTGCTAGAATGTTTCTAAAGTGTTCTGGGTGGTTGCTAAGTGAAGAGTGTATCCAAAAGTTTACCAGCATGATGCTGTGGTGTGTTGTGGGTTGCCAGAGCGTTGCTAAGCAGTTGCTATATGGTGTCCTAAGTGTTTGCTAGGATATCGCTAGGATGTTCTGGGTGTTCACCAGCATGATGCTTTTGTGTTCTGGGTTGCCAAGGTGTTGCTATGCAGTTGTTATGGTGTTCTAAGTGGTTACTAGGATGTCACTAGAGTGTTCTGGGTGGCCAGCAAAGTTTAAAACTCTTGTTTTATGGCAATGGCTATTTGAAAAAGCATGTCTACCTCAGCAATTGCTAATAACTACAGCTATTATAACTCACAATATGAATATAACATGAGTCTTTCCTGATGAAAAAGCAAAATGAAGTGCCTTTTGATTTATTCCAGTGAACAAACACTACAGCTAATGAGAAGCTGTCCACAGCTCAAGAGCAACAGCACTTCAGTTCAAAGGACATGCACCTGGGACACAAAACATATCATTATATATACAAAACATTTCATTAAAGCTGCATAATATGACATACACAATGATTCTTTCCCAAAAGTAATTTGAAACCTTTTTAACATTTGTCCCGTTTCCAACACATTCCCATTCTCAGTGCTCTTTCAGCTCCATATCTCCTCTAAACAGCAGGTTAATAGTTACTGTAGACACATTCATAACATTTTTCACTCGATCACACAAGTTCATGGGCATTTGCCATCAGATAGCAGGACATGAGAGAAAATTGCTATTATTCAAGGACTAGGAAAAGAATAACGTCTACTTTCTGACACCCAACAAACAGTCCAGGCCATGTCTGTTGTCAGTAAAGCACAGAACTGGCACATACAATTTTTTTCCTCTACACAAAATAAGCTATTCAACATAAGCTGAACTGGAACTGCTGCTGACTAGGTCATTTACTTTGGCTTAATGCCTGTTGCCCACATTCACCAGGCCAAATCTCACACCAGACAAAACAGAGGCACATGACACACAACGCTGGGCATAAACTGGTGGCTGGCGTTGATTAGCTAGTTAGCACAATGGGACAAATGTGATAGAAACAAAATGGAAGACAGGCTTCAAGTCAAATGTTAAAATAAAGCTATTACCATAATATGTCTTAAACAATATTCTACTCTAGTCTACACACACACACACACATACATCTCTCTCTCTCTCTCTCTCTCTCTCTCTCTCTCTATATATATATATATATATATATATATATATATATATACACACATATATACATATATACATATATATGGCAACTGAGTCCCTCAGTTGTCCTCAATGTGAAAATATGGATATCAAAATCATACAGTCATTGTTGGAAAAGGTTCAAATATGCAAAAGATGCTGGAAACAAAAGAATTTGTGGGACTTGAAGGATTTTTCTGAAGAACTCATGAACAACTATCACAAAAAATAAATAAATAAATAAATAAATAGAGGAAGGAACAATTGGGGAAATAGTAGACAGAAAGGTTAATGTGGTTTTACAGCGTTACAAAAAATATATTGACAAAAATGATTCACTTTTGCACTAGATATTCACTTGATACTAGATATTTTGCACTAACTCACTACTAGAACAAAAACATATTTGGACTTTTAATTCTAACCCTAGCTGTTACTGATATATAGCTTTTGTGACAACTTGCCCCGACTAGCTATGATTTATGACAATGTAGTTGAACACAGTAACTTCAAGCCCCTCTCTCTGACCCACATTGAACGGCCTCGTCTGTCAGCACTGATGTATATCTGTCAGGTGCTGGGACAGCACATTTTCTGAACACGATCTCTTACTCTATTTAAAGAGCATTCAGGCCACAGCAATACACTGCATTCAACATATACAACTCAGTTCACAACACAATTACGTTTTGCGCAACTATAAAGTAACCTAGGCTACTTGTTATTCAATAATAGGAATAAGAAATAAATAATCCATTGTCTTACCATTGTCAACTCCCTTTTTCCCATTTCTACGAGGATGCTTTTATCATGTAATCCTTCCCATCTTCATAAATAACCGGGAAAATTTTGCTTTTTAGAAAATAAAAGCATTTCGCTAGAAAATAATCATGTATCTTGAGGATTGCATGTAACATTTAAGTTATCACGCCATTTATGACATCTTACAGTTGCATATAAAACAGCCTTTTGAATAATAAACGATGATCGTAGATATAAAAAATAAACTATTATTAGCTTATATATTCCCTATAACTATCAGAAACGCCTGTAAACGCGCATCATGGTAGAATATCTTTGCTTTGAGGCAGACTATCGCACTAATGTGTCGCTTATAAATAAAGTGGGAGGTGTTAAAGGAGGAAGCATCTCACCATCTACACTGTAAGCGACACCACAGAACTTAAACTTTGATATTCAACACTGTGCAAAGCAATATACGAATTATTTACTGAAATTTGCGAGGCGCAAACCTGTTGAGCGGCGCTGTCAGCTAAGCGTATCTAACTATCTTACTATCTTAAAGGGGTCATATGATGTTGCTAAAAAGAACATTATTCTGTGTATTTGGTGTAATGAAATGTGTTTATGCGGTTTAAGGTTAAAACATCTCATTATTTTCCACATACTGTACATTATTGTTTCTCCACTATGCCCCGCCTTTCTGAAACGCGTCGATTTTTACAAAGCTCGTCGGTCTGAAAAGCGAGGTGTGCTGTGATTGGCCAGCTATCCAGTGCGTTGTGATTGCCTGAATATCTCAAGCGTGTGACGGAAAAGTTACGCCCCTTACCATACTGTGATGCCATGTCCAGCCGGAGCGACGAGACAAAAACATTAAAACCCATTATAAATTAGGAATTTGTTGCATCCAGTGGGGACAAACAAAGTAGTTTCGCTTTCACAACGAAACAGCGTCACACACGGAGGCCTAGAGTGAGCGGAAGCCGGAGGCTAGAGTGAGCGGAGGTTGGCTTGAGTGAGCGGCGGCGGTCTTGCGGCAACCACATGTGACGACCCCGGGCTGGACTCTGCTTTGTCCATGGTGAAAGCCGATCCGGCGATCCACAGCACGAATTTGATGCATTTCCTCAGCGACCAGCACAGATCATCTCTAGGTATGACGAAGCGGATATCGTCCTCTTTTGGAAGGCCAAACAAAGTAGTTTCGCTTTCACAATGAAACACACAGCGCCTTCACGACATGGCAGCGGCGGCAGCAACAATACTACAGCGAGAATCAAAGTTACACCTTCTTTCTTTGCGTGAACATTTGGGCGGCGTTATGCAAATCTTCCCACATCGTGACGTAGATATGTGGGGGCGTGTTAGAACGAGCCGTTTTAGGTAGGTGTGGCTGACTCTTAACTTTTATAAAGAATATCTCTTTGGATTTGAGACTTTAGTCTTTGCAACTTTACAGATCTTCTTTATGCACCAAGAGCTTGTAACACTCCAAAGAGAAAGGAAAAATTGAAATCGCATCATATGACCCCTTTAAATATAATTTAAGGAAAACACAGAGGTTGTGTTTGTACATCTATAAATGTAAAATGAAGTGACAAATAACCTCACTTTCATAGAGTTTGTCGGCGTACCATCTGGTACTGATCTAAAGGGGCTCGATCAGGTATAACAATAATTACTTTTTTTTTTTTTTTGAATTATGAATATGAGGTTTTCCTAGAGTAACTTTTTTGACCTAAACAAAACGTGCATTCATGAAAAGGTTACTTTTTTTAAATAAAAATAATAAAAATGAATGAATATTATACCACTACATGTGCCATTTTTTCAATATTGCAAGCCATTTAATTAGACTTTTAACGTGAACATAACATTGCCTATATGTAGGGTATACTTACATATCTATAAATATAGATGTATATAGAAAATGACAATGTTTCAATACAAAATCAGTTATATAAAATATATAAATTTTTTGGGAAAAAAATATTGAACTCTAATATTCGATATATATATATATTTATCGGCTGGGGTCAAGGCATCAAGAGCCACCTTTTTAAACTAATATTGAATTCTATTATGGCGTTGACAGCAGCTACTGATGCATTTTCATGAAATGAATGAAATGCATCAGTAGTTGCTGTAATGCTATATTAATAGAGTTAAATAAATTTATCAAATTTAAATTTATATATAAAATGTATACTTCATAATACACTTTTTTACTTTGTTTAACAATCATATTATGAAGGCTCTGACAGCCAATCTTATATTTAAAATATTACTTCTATATCCTCATAAAGGGCTGGAGATGAAGTGCCTGAGGGAAGGGCTTTTCTGGTTGGTGCACAACAGAGGCCAAGAGCTCAGCGTGTGTCTCGTGGGACTGGTGTGATGTGGTTGCTGTCGTCACTGCCGATCATCTGATCTAGCCACTAAACTTGCCAAATAATATTTTGCACACTGGTAGAGACCTGTGCTTCATTATGAGGGCAGGTTGAATTTTCCAATCTCAAATTACGTTTTATCTCAGAAGCAAAATTAAGTGAGATGAAACAAACAGTAATTAGGACACGGCTGGTGTGTGAAAATGATAGGACAAGCTAAGGCCACAAAACCTATCCTAATATTATGTCATTTTTGCAGAGCACACAATAACACCTACATTCTGTGTTAATAAACAATAACTTGAAACCTGAGCTCTGGATTGAACTCCCAAAGTGCATATGAGCTCTATAAAACTGGGTTTCGCTGTAACGGGAAGACATCAGCCCCTGGAGATCTGGGTATCATGGTCACTATGGGAGCTGTGCTTCTGTATTGTTGAGGGAGTTCAGGCACTTTGAAAACAGTGTTACCCAAGACGATGCGTTTGAACAGCATGGTTATTTGTAGCACAAAAGAACTTCCCTATGGGAGTGGGATTTTGTATTTTAATACTTTCCTAATATTCTAGAATATCAGAAAACTTTTTTTTTTTAATTTCCTGGTTAGAATGACAAAGGACATAATAATAGCACCCCGATAAGTGTTCAAGACATCTTTCAACATTTAAAATATGGGGAACAACATGATTTTGCCTTTTAGTAGCCTACTTATCTAATATTACCGTTTTTAAAATATTGGAAACAACATGATTTTGCCTTTTAGTACTTATTACCGTTTTTACAATGGGAAAAATATTACAGAATATTTTCATTTTCCGGTTAGACAGACAAGCTATAACTATAACAATTCCATAAGAGTTCAAGAGATCTTACAAACTTTAACATACAGTGAATTTGAGTAAATTTAGCTCAGTTCACCCTATATTGAAATTTCTCCACAATTAATAAGTTAATAATATTGTTGTTGACATATGAATTGAAACTCTTTGACAAAGTAAACAATTAGAAGAAATTGTTCAATGCAGTTTGAACCAGCATATGAAGCAAGTTTAAACAATAAAACGTGAGAAAAAGTGAAAAGTTGAAACAATACCACCAGAGATGTAGTTTAACTTATGTGCTGAACTTGAAGGAATAGTTCACCCAAATGTGAAAACGTGCTGAAAATGTACTCCCCCTCAGGCCATCCTAGATGTAGAGGAGTTTGTTTCTTCATCAGAACAGATTTGGAGAAATGTAGCATTCCATCACTTGCTCACCACTGGATCCTCTGCAGTGAATGGGTGCCGTCAGAATGAGAGTCCAAACAGCTGATGAAAACATTGGGTGAACTATTCCTATAAAGACTGTGTTTGAATGATGTCACCATATATTTAAACTACTGTATGATTTTTTTTTCTTTTGAATCAGTACTTGTCAATAATAAGGCAAAAGGTCTTGAAAATGGAAAACAAAACCTCCAGAGAAGTATATAGATGTCACGAAACATTATTTTAGCACTGATAACACATGAAAAATGCTAAAATAAAATATTTCTCCATACTAATATCAAGAGAAAACTTCTTTAACACATACTTTATTTAAAGTGAGTAAAAAGACTGCTCTAGATCAGAGCTCCTGCAAAAATAGATGGACTTCTGTATATTTGGTCAACAGCGCCACCTTGTGGGTGACTGAAAATTTGATAGTTCTATCATTAGCCGCTCTAGGGAAGTAACTATTAGAAGAAAGTGTAGTAAACTGTAAAATTATTTGCGCAACAAACCAGTGTGTTTAGGAATACGATAATAAACTACAATAATATTATAAGACCAGTTATTAATACCAGTTTGCAATATCTTGTAATCAATTGTAATGTAGACACATGCATTTTCTGTAAAGCTGCTTTGAAACAATGTGTATCGCGAAAAGCGGTATACAAATCAATTTGAATTGAATTGAATATCAAGAAGCATAACGGGCTGTTTTTGTTCAGTTAAATTAACTGTAAACAGATGACACCGGAAGTCTCGCACATTCAATTTGCAAATGGCTGCTATAGCTATTGGGTGAACATTTAACACACACTTGCTAAAATAAGCATTTAATGTAAAACAATGTTTTTATATTTAAAAGTGAAACATTGATCACTGATCTCGGTCTCTCTCACACACAAACCTTTAGGCCTACGCCAATTTAAAGTCTGATAAACAGATTTTACCCGAGTATTGTAGAAAATTCTTTATTTATCATGTATTGAGGCGTACCAACGTGTAACAAAACACTTAAAACACTGAATAAAGTCAAGAACACGGTTATAGTCCAGAAGTCTGAACCGCTTTACCTACATACAGGCACTTCTCATAATGTACACAGGGCCATGAACTGGAAATGGACAGATGATCAAAGTAAAACATTGTTTTTTTTTTGAACGATCACTTCTGCAAACATATTGACAAAGAAAACGTTTTTCTACAATCCTGTCCAACAGCACAATGAACAACACTGCATTGTGTTTTCATATAAAAACCATCAATATGAAAAATGCAAATCAAACAGTCTAGGCCCAGACATTTCAATTATTCTTTAAAGTATTAGTTAAAACATTTGGCAGTTATTGCAAAAGCTTTTTAGACATTTAAATACTAAATCTAAAACCTCTGGGGGGGGGGGGAGCAGAGGTGTTTTGCCCACATTCTAAAGTAAACTTTATGCATATGGTTGAGATACTGAGGTCAATCACTTTGATGTGTTTCATAATTCACATGATTGTCTGGTTCTCTAAGGCACGATAAATACAGCAATGAAAACGATTTCTCAAGCGCTGCCGAGGCACATGCATATAACCCTGACCATCAGTGAGGACTAGTTGGCCTGGTTCTTCTTCTTCAAAACATTGAGAAGGTTCTCAGACATCAGATAGGGTCGTTCTGGGCTGCCATCGTTCCTCTCCAGGTCCTCCACT